GGTTGGACTCGATGATCTCAGAGGTCTTTTCCAACCTTAATGATTCTATGATTCTATGATTCTAACTGGACCCAAAAATCTCTTTATCTTCCAGGGGAGGACTGAGTCTCCTCTCCTGTGCACACATACTCTGCAGCAATGGAATTGCCTTTCCCTTCGCAGGGACTGCTCTGTGGCTGGTTTCCAACTAGCCTGGGTCCCCACCAAGCTGCAGTTCCTCTTGCTCCCAATTCCGTGCAGAGAATATTAGCTTAAGACAGGAGCAAAGAAAGGAGAAGCTGAGAATGGGACAGCAGAAGAAAGCTGAATACAGCCACTCAGGGAACGTGTTTTGGCATCACACTGATAGAGATTGCAGAGCACATAGTCTGATTTGTGCCACTGTCCACGTTAGCCGAAGTTCAGAGTTTTAAACCTTCCAAGACATCCAGTCAGCATAATTTGATAAAATTACTAGTGTGGAAAAAGGGCAAGTCCTGCACCCACTACTGGTAGCTACGTCAGAGCTTCAGTAACTCTGATGACAAGCAGTGAAGGCACGGTGGACATTTCTGCAGCAGTTAAGAGCTCATATATGGTCATGGGGCTAAAAGAGAATGACTAAACCTTTACACAGCAATCGTTAAGAGAAGGTAACCCATGGCATCCATTAGAAAATTAATATTTGCCAAGAACTTTTTTGCCATAGCTATTCTCTTTTGGAATGCAGGACATGCTCTGGTATCTCTGATTTTCTCTTGCAGCTACCTGTAAGGCTATTTGTTAGGCCGACACAAATGCAAACAAGGATAATAGCAAATAGTTTTGTTTTGTTTTTAACAATTGATAGGGAAGAGCATTTGGATAACAACACTCCTTTCTGGGGGCTTTGTCTTGCTATGAAGGACACTCATTCCAAGCTTTGCGGTAATACGCTAATAAGATAGAAACTTTGCTCAGAAATAAGCCATGCCGTATAGCAAGGCTAAGTGTGTGTACATGTATAAACAGTGATCAGCTATAGCTTGGCCTGAACCCAAACAAGATATGAATTATAACACATTGTCCATATTTTTCTTTTTAAGCTCAGAGTGAAGCAAGCTGGGGTGAGCATTCAAAAGATCGTACCTGGCCTTCAGACCACGGGCATCAGCTTGGATCACTATTTCAGTATCCTTCACCCAGAAGTACCCTTCACCATCTCTAGCATTCAGAAATTCATCAACAGCCAATTTGTTTTCCAGACTAGAAGAGAGATGATGCCAGAGTCGTGGAAACAACGGCCAATGCTAGAGCTGAGAGGTACTTCACTGTTTTCAATAGCATAAGTGTTCATATTAAATCAGGAATTGTGCTGGAGTTGAACCAGTGCCTTTCTGTGGACTCCTGGCTTCACATAAGTCCTATAAATGGCCTTGTCTTTGTGCAGTGAGGAGAGGATTAGATGGTTCTGTTTAGAGAAACGGTACTTTAAGATGCTTGTAGACAAATTCTGCTATTACCTCACCAGATTTTGAAGGCTTTCAGTCAGAAATAACAACTGCTCTCCCATTTGAAAGGCTTGGAAAGACAGTGGTTTTCTAACGCTGCAAACCCCACATCTTTCCTGAGTAATGGGGACAAGGCCAAGGGAGGATTAGATTGTTTTCTGAACCACCTGTGGCCTCAGTTATTCACAGAGTCGCAGAATCGACTCAACTCCAGTTGAGTTTGGAAGGGACCTCTGGAGATTGTCTAGTACACCCCCCCCTCAAAGCAGGGTCAGCTAGAGCAGGTTACTCAGGACCATGTCTAGTTGGGTTTTGAATACGTTCAAGGATGGAGACTGCACAACCTCCCTGGGTAACCCATTCCAGTGTTTAACCACCCTTACAGTGAAAAGGTTTTTTCTTACGTTTAAATGGAATTCCTGCATTTCAGTTAGTGCCCATTGTCTCTTGTTCTTTCACTGATACCACTGAGAAAAGTATTTTTTACTCCCTCCTATCAGGTATTTATACATATTGATAAGCTCCCCCCTGAGGCTTGTCTTCTCTAGGCTGAACAACCCCAGCTCTCTTAGCTTCTCCTTATATGACAGATGCTCCAAGCCTTCCCAGGTCCTCCATCCTTCTTGAAAACAGGAGTGACATTTACTTTGTTCCAGTCCCCAGGAACCTCCCCCAGTCACCATGGTCTTTCAAAACTAACTGAGAGAGGCCTCGCAAGGACACTGACCAACTCCCTCAACACTCCTGGATGCATCACACGAGGTCTCGTGGACTTCTGTATATCCAATTTGTTTAAATGTTTACTAACCTGAACTTCCTGTGGCGACGGTAGGTCTTCATCGCTCCAGACTTTCCCAGTGGTCTCAGGGCCCTGAGATTCCTGAAGGGTGATTCTTACCAGCAAAGACTGAAGCAAAGAAGACACTGAGTGCCTTGGACTTTTCCATATCCTTTCTCAGCAGATCCCTTGCCTCATTCAGCAGCAGGCCCGCATTTCCACTAGTCTTCCATTTGCTGCTCATATACCTGTAGAAGCCCTTCTCCAGGTGGGTTTTGGCTTTTTCAACCCTGTCTCTTCCTCCGGGGTGACTTGACCCAGCTTTCACCTCTTGTATTCTTTCTTTTTTATATTTGAGTTTAGTCGGGAGCTCCTTGTTCATCCATGCAGGCCCCTGCCATGTTTGCTTGACTTTCTGCACATCGGGATAGACCATTCCTGAACTTGGAAGAGGAGATCCTTGGAAATAAACCAGCTCTTCTGGACCCTTCTTCTTTCCAAGACTGTATCCCGTGGGATTCTTCCAAGCAGATCCCTGAATGAGACAAAGTCCAGTCTCCCGAAGTCCGGAGTTGCGATCTTACTTTTTTGCCTTGTTCACCCCTCGCAGGTTCCTGCACTCCACCATCGCACGGTCATTGCAGCCAAGGCTGCGCCCAGCTTTCACATCCATAGTTCTTCACTGTTTGTAAGTATCGGGTCTAGCAGGACACCTCCCCTCATCGGTCGCTTGTGTCGGGAAGCTCACCTGAGTCAGGGCCTCAGTGCACTTCAGATATCTCCTGAGCTGCTTGTGCCCTGCTGTGTTGTCTGTCCAGCAGGTATCAAAGTAGCTGAAGTCCACCGTCAGGCCTCTTGTCTTAAGAAGGTCTCATCTACTTTTTCTTCCTGAGCAGGGCATCTGTAGCAGAGACCCATCACAACGTCACCCACATTGGTCTGCCCTCTAATCCGTATCTAGAAGCTCTCAGCCGGCTCATCACGCAGCCCTGGGCAGAGCTCCACGCATTTCCCTTGCTCTGTCACATAAAAGGCAGCTCCCCATCCTTGCCTGCCTGTCCTTTCTAAAGAGTCTGCGTTCATCCTTTGCAGTACTCCAGGTGTGCGAACTACCCCACCAAGCCTCTGTGATCCCAATGATGTGGTGGCCCTGAAACTGCACACAGACCTCTAGTTCCTCCTGGTTTTTCCCCGTGCTGTGCACAGTTGTGTACAGGCACCTCGGAGAGGTGCCCAGTCCCGCCCCTTTCCCAGAAAAGGTACGAGAGTTTCCCCCGTAACGCTGCCCCATGAGTTTTTCTCTGCAGAGGTTAGAATCAAATATATAATGTAAGGCATTACTCGGGCGATTCCTGCAACGTGGTTGTATCGTCGCCCTTGGTTTTGGTTAGGCGTTCAATGCCAGTTGCCCTGTGAATCTCCCCAGCCCTCAGCTACGGCCTTCCGCTTCACTGGGGACCTGTGGCACGGACACAGTGCCAGCCCTCAGAGCCAGCTTCTGCTCGTGGAGCCACCGGGCTCAGCACGGGGATGCACTGAGCTGTGTAAAAGCAACTGTCCGTGTCTCCCCTCCCCGTAGCTCTACGCATCAGCCTGTGCACCCGACACAGAATCCCTTTGCGCCGCTAAGGATTCTCTTTGCCAAAGAAATTACTGCTTTGTACGTGGAGCAGCATTTTAAACGCAGCCGCCCAGCCCAGGCAGTGCCCGTTCACACATCTCGGGTTGCATCTTTGGCGCGTACAGACGACAACGAAAACGGGGGGTGAACCTCCCCGCAATAACACACCGCAAGCATCGCTCCTGCCAGCGCGCGCTTCCCGTCTGCCGGGCGAGGGGCGGGAAGGGGCAGGGGACGAGGGAAGGGCTGTGGCAAAGGCCTGGTAACATTGCTACGGCTGGAGGGAAGAAATGGCTTCCCCTGCGCCTCCACGCATTTCGATTCCTAAAATGTGAATACATGATTCATTCTTAATTTATGCCTTTGAGGGGAGTTATTTCCTACTGGCTGGGTTGCAAATGTGGATAAAAATAGATTAGTTAGCCGTGCTTTTATTTTTCGCAGTCGCATTTTCAGATTCGGATTTCTGTCTTCACGCCCCCGCCCCACAATGTTACATAAGAGTTTACCAGTTAAAATTATTTTAGCAGAAATGATATTTTATTATTTGCTTTATTTTTACTGGGAGGAATAAGTATGGAATGATTCTCTGCTTCGTGTAATTAACTATAACGACATTTGGTTTAAGTGTTCTGTGACCCCAATTTTCCTTCTCTGAACTATGTAATGCGACCTAATTTTCCCTTCTCTCCTTTCGCCTTTACATAATGAGTGTCAAATCTGGTATTCCTGCGATTCAGAAAAAACTAAGAGTTTAGGGAGACCTTGAAAAAAGTGATGTCACCAAAACAAGGAACTTTAACTAGTCACAGGTACAATTTTACATCCTCTTACGCTGTCAGGGTTAATTCACGTGGTATCTCTGATGTTCCAATCCTGTTAAGTTTTCAAGCTGCTCCTCCAGTTGCCCTGGGGGTGGGGTGAGAGAGAAAGAAAGAAATAGGAATTCCTGGATTGCTGTTCAGAAACCAAGGGTACTTATGAAGCAAATAAAGAATAATAAGAATAATAATAAAACATAAAAAAATCAAACCCATAACCAAATCTCAACAAAGAAAACAAAAACTCAATCCCCCACCAAAAATCCCTTCTACCTTTCAGGCATTTTTGTCCCTGCTTATTTAGATGATCATAGTGACTGAAAGCTGCAGCTTCCAGGAAGGAAGGCTCCATTGACTTTCCTGGGGCCACGTTTTACCCACTGTGAAATTAAACTTTAAATGTTTCACTTAATCATTGTGAGTCTCAGTTCCCCTGTGCATGATGCTGACTGGCTTCAGGAACAGCTCAAGAACTGAGAGGAGAGGAGAGGAGAGGAGAGGAGAGGAGAGGAGAGGAGAGCAGAGGAGAGGAGAGGAGAGAGGAGAGATGTGAGCACTGGGGTTCCTCGTAAAAAGGAGGGACCTGAAGCGTGGTTGGGCTCTGCCTAGCAATTGCAATGAGTGAGTGACTGCTTTCTGGGTCCTGAATTTTTTTGATGTGGCTGGTGTACCTCCTCCAAACAAGTTCATCTCTAATTCCAGGAAACAGAGTAATTCCTGTGATGACCCAGACCCTACAAAAAGCCACTGTCCTTAGAACTCGTCCCCTAAAATTAACATCAGTAATACTGAGCATCACGTGAAAGTCCAAGCTGCTGAAAACTCTTACCGACGCTTCTTTCAAACAGGCCAGATGATCTGGATGGAGTCCCTGCAGTGCATGCTCTATCTCTGCTCACCTTTGCTTCGCACCTTGCATGAACTGGAGGAGCGACAGATGCACATTGCAGACATTGCACCTCACGACGTGACCAGGGATTTGATTCTTCTCAATCAGCAGCGACTGGCAGAGATGGAGCTCTCTAACCAGCTGGAGAGGAAGAAGGAAGAACTGCGGGTACTGTCGAAGCACCTGGAGGAAGAGAAGAAAAAGACTGAAGCTCTGCTCTACGCCATGCTTCCTCAGCACGTGGCCAACCAGCTGAAAGAGGGGAAGCGAGTCGAGGCAGGTGAATGAACAGGATGCATTCGTGATGCATGATTCATGCACCAGGTGATGGTGATAGAGAGACCGGGGGGCTGGCACAGCCCCATTGCCACTATCGTGGAGTACATTCTCTACTTGGTGACATTCGTAGGTAGGAGGAGGACCACAGACCCTTAGTCTCGCTGATGATAAAGATCAGACTATTCTTTCAAACACAGCTTTGGAAGCTATTTGCCAAAATTGTTCCTTAGGAGGTGAAAGGTGGTAGCAGCTGCCCATTCAGGGAACAAAATTCAGCGTTTCAGCAGCAAACTGAGATTCTGTTTTTAACATGGGTGTGCAGGGAAACGAGAGCTCAAAAATGAAAGGAATAAAGAAATTGGTCTTCCCTAGAAAATTCTCTTAGTTCCTCGATGCTATCTATAAACCTAGAATCATCATGATTCCCATTGTTATTAAGGATAGCAAGTAAGAATATGTTTACATTCCCTTTAGTAAGCACATACATGAAGTTAGAGGTAAAGAGGTAAGTATATCCTGAATATGGATGGACAAATGGATGTATTCAAATGTCTGGACCGTTTGAGATGTGCGATGGTTCTTATATTGGATACACTCTTATATCGACATCTCTCTTTCATATCAGCACCCGTATATGAGCGTTACAACTGATAGGTCATATTCCTAAAAGAGTGATGAGAAAGTAATCTTTGCAAAACAGGTCTCAAACAGATGTCGTGGTTGTCCAGCCGTTGCAAGTACTTAGTGCTGGTCTTTCTGCTCACAGGAGAGTTCAAGGAGTGCACTATATTGTTCAGCGATGTTGTGACCTTTACCAACATTTGTGCCCAATGTGAGCCTATTCAGATAGTTCTCATGTTAAATTCAATGTACCTGCGATTTGACAGACTGACCACGGTGCATGATGTGTACAAGGTATGTGCCGATCGATAAAGGCTGTAGAAATAGTCTGGAAAAAGATTTTCTTGTTGATATTTCGGGTTTTTTTGTTTTTAAATGCACTTAAATCCTCTCCCCCCAGCATGATTTTTGATAAACCATAAAATATTGCACATTTGTAGTGGCCACACAGAGAAATTAAAAAACAGACAGAGGTGTGATTAAATATGTTTAAAATTTTCAGACAGGAATGTAACTTCTATCATGGGCTAGAGTCTCTTTCCACAACGCTAACACCAGAACGGCTGTTCTTTCATACATCTCTCTCCTCTCTCAAACGTCTACCCAACATGACAGGATATCCTACTTTATGGACCAATTTGAATCATTTTCCTAGTTCTTTTATTCCAACCTGTTGTAAATAGGTCACTATGTCATTAAGTGTCTCCTTTGGTGGGAAATAACATCATAAACAATACCCAGATAATACCTAGGCTTTGTTTTGCTTCACGGAGGGAGATCTTGGGCAATGGTATAGATCTGCTGACCCCAAAGAGCATTGGTTAGATCTAGACTGTAACGTACGTGTTGTCTCCAAACCGTGCTGGAAGGATCAGAGCCCTGGTTGACATATAATAATAGCGTTATTAACATCTCCAGAGCTACCCAGATTTGACGAGCTGAAGAGCAAGTCCTCAGTTTCTGTCTGTCCCCAGCACATTAAATATTTAGGAAGGCAGAAATAGTAAAGGGTGGAATCCAAATCTCAGTCATTCCTTGCTCAGGCGAGGCATGCAGTTCATCCCGCAATAAATTGTACTGGGAAATCAGAAGCATTTCTGCCTTGGCAAGGAAACTGTATTCAATAATTGAAGCATCCAGGATATGGCCAACAGCTCTCAGGATAAATTAGTGTCATATTCTATCTAAATCATCCATCATGAGTAAATTATCTGTCACTGTAATAATCTCCTTTTGATGCCTGTATATAACTCCTATTAATATTGAAGGAAGTTGCTAGGGTCCAGAGAGGGAGGACAAGATTACTATTTCAGGGAATTGAGAAAGAAATGAAATATTGAAATTGATCAAAGAAACTTGGCCCAAGCTTATAAATATCTGAAGTTATGAATAAATCTTGTTAAATTAAATCTCCTACCACGGCTGAAAAATAATTAGGGTATCTATTTGCATTAGTAGCTTTTTACAGTTGTTTTTAACTTGTTACAGAAAATTGCTGGCATTACTGTGGGGTTGGCTATCTGATAGAAGGCACGTACAGGAACACATTTTTCGAGACTAATGCGCCGAACAGTTTTAAGTCATCACGTTAATGAACGAACCCAAAGACGAAATTATGTTCCCGCTCTCCTATTGGTGTTCATTTTTAAGAAATCCAATTAGTCTAATTTAAACTGATCTCTTATTTACTGATGGTAAATGTAACAATGAAGTCTCATAAGGGGAGTTTAGAAAATTTCCTTACCGTGTAACAGTCTTTTACGGTGAATTTTAAAGGTTTGAGAACTCTCTGTTTCAAACAGGCCTATTCTATTCCCAGCAAAATCTCTGGTACAGGGACAAACCCCAGAGTATTTCTCAGGTGCCTTGTCAGGCACTTCAAGGAGACTGGGTGCCTGGAGGAGAACGAACCCTTCAGTATTTGTCTCACGGGCTGCAGCGTGTTGTGGGAAAACACCTGGTTGGAAGGAAGGATGCTCCCGAGCTGCTTAGTTCACACTTTGCATTCTCTGACATCCTGGAGATTGGAGTTTTCTTAATTTCATGTGAAGCCCTTATTAATAATCACCAGTGAATATGCTCCCTTGCTTTATTGTGACTTTTTAAAAAACAAGTCTCTTTTGAAAAAGAAATACGCTTTTAGCACCAATTGTGAGTTAGAGCTCATTAATAGCAGTCAGCTATCGGATAGCCTCCTGGCTCAGGAGTCTGTGCCCAGGGACAGCCCTGGGTAAGAGGAAGGCAAAAAGCCTGACACTTTCACAGCATCCCTTACTCCTTAGGGTCTCTCACGCTGATACCTAAAATGGGTCAAGTAAGCAGGGACAGAATGCATTGAAATTTTTAGTGTGGAGTCAAGGAAAGGATCCCCGTCTCAAGGAAACTCGCACGTGCTAGAGCTTTTTAGTGATTGGAAACATCTTTTAGAAGAAAAGGGGAGTTGGTGCAGGTGGAGAAGAGCCCCAAAGAGCAAAGCACTAACCTGAGCAAGATATATATGGCATGTTCACACGCTTGTCCCTCTCAATTAAAGGTGGAGACAATTGGAGATGCCTATATGGTAGTAGGTGGGGTCCCTGTGCCTGTACCCACTCATGCTGAGCGAGTTGCTAACTTTGCCTTGGGGATGATAATAGCAGCTAAAGGAGTGCAGAACCCAGTTTCTGGAAATCCTATCCAAGTAAGTTGTTAACGCAAAGATGCATGTGTGGCTGTCTGCTTCTTGGGTTGGGCTTCTGGTTAACGTATTGCAGGAGGACGTCAAAGAGCTGCTTCTGACTCCTCTGTGACTTTGGGCAAGGTCCACATGGGTACTTTCACTAAGAGTCTCTCCCTGTGGATATTTGATATTTTACTGGTGTCCCGTGTGGTGTTAGGATGAACTTTTAGGTGGCTGGATAGCATTAAGAAAGACGTTAAATAACAAGTGACATTTTGGGGGGTGTGTGTTTTATGTCTTTGTAAAGATTAGAGTTGGGATCCATACAGGTCCTGTCTTGGCTGGAGTTGTTGGAGAAAAGATGCCTCGTTATTGCTTGTTTGGAGACACGGTGAATATAGCTTCCCGGATGGAGAGTCACGGTGTCCCGAGTAAAATTCATCTAAGCTCCAGTGCCTATCAGTGAGTAACTATGATGGAAACTTTGGCTGTTAAAAGCTGTGCTAAAACGCACTGCCTTGGCAGCTGCAGCTTTCAGCGTAGATGATGCTGTCTTCAGTCACTGATTTATGCAGCTTGCTTACAAAGAAAAGTCACTGCTTACGAAGAGTTTTGTGTGTTTGATTATTTCAAAAGCACTTGTATATGGAGACAGAGGTTTGAGAGTCTCGATCCTAGAGAGCAAAATATGGGGAAAAAATAATTGTGATATAGCTTATTTGGAAGTACCGATAGAGTGACGTAGATGCTAGAAAGACAGTCAGAACATTTAATTTGACATCCTGCGTAAGAAAAGCTTTAAAATCTCTCTGATTCAGAGCACAACAATTTGTGGCGTAACAGTTCTATTTGCACTTACTAAGGATTAACTGCATAACCCACTATCCTATTCGTGCAGTGAATAATTTACTTTCCTAAAACTCATGTCACTAAAAATTAAATACTACATTTTCAAGAATTTTATGTATGCATCAAATACGTATGCAAGAGGTTGAAGTGAAGACAAGCTACAGAGGAGGAGTACAAAAACATTGTCTGGGCATTCGGAAAGCCAGAGCTCAACTAGCATTGAAATGGGCAAGGAAGGTTCAAAGGCAGTAAGAGGAGCTTCTGCTATGTGAGCAGAAAAGTATAAATGGAAACGTGGACCTGCTGTGGCAGGTGATTTAGTGACGGTGCCCTGAATAAAGGCTGAGTTACTCAAGGCCTCTCTTGCCTCGGTCTTCACTGACGAGGTCTTCAAGGTCCCTGCACCTAGAGTCAGGATTCAAGGAGTAGGTGAAGTACCAGTATTAGAAGAGGATCAGATCAGGGGTCTTTTGAGAAACCTCAGTCTGTAGGAGTGTATGGGAGCAGATGGGATGCCTCCAAAGGTAATGAGAGAGCTGGGTGATGGCATTACAGTGCTGCTGACCGTCATCTTGGGAAGGTCATGAAGATCAGCACCGTAGCAACTGAACAAAGCCAGATGTTACACCTATATGGAAAAATGGCAAGGAGGACAGGCTGGGAACTATAGGCTGGTCAGCCTCATGTCAGTCCCAGAGAAAACCAAGTCCTTTCGGAAACCATTTTTGGACACGTGAAGAAGGCAATTGGGAATAGCCCAGTCTGGATTTACCATGAGTAAATCATGTTTGACGAACCTGATTGCCTTCTCTGATGAAATGACTGGAGATAGTTCTGTCTACCTGATACTGGCTACCTCAGTTCTTAATTTCTATTTACTGGTCAATAAGAACCCTCCACCGTACTGAAGTATTTGACTCTGTGATCCATTGATTTTTGATCAGGCTGTACGTGTAAAGCTATGAAAGCACAGCAGGCTTCAATAAACAGTCGAAACAAACCCTCAGTTGCTCACGGATCAATACGGTTTTTCCTGGACTGTTGTGATTTGATTACTTCGATTACAATAGCTCTTCTAAAACACCAGTATCATTTTTGCTAATCTTGAATTTTCATGTGTCATTTTGCTTCTGATATTTTAGGTGCCTAAAATACAAGAATTTTGAGATGACTGGAAGAGGAGAAATAGAAGTAAAAGGCAAAGGGAAAATGCACACATACTTCCTCATTAGAAATAAGACTGCAACTGAGAATGAGATTATGGGAAGGCCAATGAAAGACTTGGATTCGGGCCATGAATCTGTTCAGTCCTTTCAAGAAGGTAGGACTGAAGCAATACCAAGTTGTCATCAGCCAGGTAGAGTCAACTCGACATACCTTTCCCTCCTTGAACAAATGAACATTAATACAACTCAATTAAATATCCTTTTCTCTTCTTCTTTCAGTTACTCAGACTCAGCCAGAGAAGGACCAGAGCCCGGCCATTGCAATGAAGTATATTGATGGCCCCACAGATGCACAAAACAGCCTCAAAAGAAGAAATCAAGCAAAAATTGCGGATTTAACAGGTAGTTATTTAGTTACCATCTAGCAAAGACAACAGAACTAGGAAGTAACTGAGGCTTAATCTTGCAGCTTCGTTATATTCCTCTTCTGAATAACCATTGTTTTACTCAAGAAATTTGAAACTGACCGTTGTGCATACTGTTTAGGGCCAAAGAAATTCACCTTCAGAGCAATCCCGGGTGTTAGCTGCGCGCTAGGGAGAAAGAAGCTGACATAGCTGTCAAACCCCAGAGTCCTTCTGGCAGTGCAGACAGAGCGGGTAAAATGTTAGACAGCTTTTCACATGGACAGACCCAACTGTTCGTGTACACATCTTTTCCTAGAAAAGCTGTCATTATTTGTAGTTATGGGGAAGCCCTTATCGACTCAAGCCTGAGAAAGAGAGACCTCACTGGCTGTGCAGCCTGGCAGTCCTCAAGCCAGTCTCCTCCAGGAGTCAGAAGGATTTATTGCCATGCCCATGCTCTGCAACCAAAGTTCATCCTCCTTTGAAGTAGCTGATACTGAAAGAGAGAGAACGGATTTGATGCCATGACAGTCCAATCTGCTGCAGCAAGTCTTGTAATTCTATTTACGTGTTTTGTGGATTTTATACAGACTAAGTATGTTGTCACTGATTACTAGAAAATATTTTACTCCCTTCCCTCCCACCTGCTTAGACGTGGTAGTTAATCTAGTATATGGTGTGCTGACAAACAGAAACCTCTACGGTCATTAAAAACTCACGCTGAAGGAGTGTTTCCTTTCAGGCAAAACTTATGATTCCAAAAGCGATGGCAGTCTCCATGGCAACCAGCAGGCAGATGATGGTCCTTGTCCTCTAAACCGGGGAAGAGTCATACCTGCTACTGAAGAGGCACAGATTAGGAACGTTCGCTCTAATTTTTGCACTTTACTCTAAGTTTCTTACTTTTTACATTAAACAGAGCAATTTTATTATGATTTAGTGCATTTTGCTGTTGTGGGACTGATTTTGTATATCAAGTACCACATGATTTTGCAAAAAAAAAAAAAAAAAAAAAGACATTTCATCACAGTTTTCAGCAAAAGAAAACAATGGAGGATATTTTTTTTTTAATCAATCTACATGTGCCATATAGTACTCCCAGTGGAGAAGGAAACCACCGCGAGATGCTTTGAAGATGTATTTTTCAGCCTCTGCCACGTCTTCGAATATCCCTATGTAAAAATCACTTTTTGAAAAAAAAAAAAAAAAAAAAAAAGACATTTCATCACAGTTTTCAGCAAAAAGAAAACAATGGAGGATATATTTTTTTTAATCAATCTACATGTGCCATATAGTACTCCCAGTGGAAAAGGAAACCACCGCGAGATGCTTTGAAGATGTATTTTTCAGCCTCTGCCACGTCTTCGAATATCCCTATGTAAAAATCACTTTTTGGTATCTCGCGCAGCAATTGAGAAAGAGGTGACTCATCCAGCTGGAAATACTCCTACTCAAACGGGCACTTGCCATAAAAGAAACATTCCCTGAAGTGACCATCTGTCTTGACTTCAGCACAGCCAACAGCTTCCCCGTGTAAGGCTAGCAGAGTTTGATCTACATTTTAACTGCCACGACAGTTTAATCTCTTAACAGGTCATTTGTTGGGTAAAGGCATTGTGCGGTGGAAGTGCAGAATAGATCTAATACAACCTGTATTCCTCCACCCTGAAGAGAAAAAATCGTGTACTCTGTAGCACCCAACAGTAAAAACAACATCTGCGACGTTCGAACCAGCTGTCCACGCGGTGCTTAGGTGATCGTAGAAGGACATGCACGTAGTAAGGTTACGTAGCATCGAATTCATGACAACACTGAAGGACTGCTCAAGGCCTATGAACTATTTCAGACCTTCAAATGAGTTGCAAGTTTATTTCTCATTTTCTCACCCCAGCTAAACAAAAACAAAGTTTCAGGACTACAGAGGGAGCCTGTCCGTGCTGGAATTAATGTCGTTAACGTCACTGAAAATAACAGCGTTAAAGATCAACATCACTTAACCTGGTGTCACAGGCTCCTCAGCTGAATTACTTCCATGCCGATATATTCTTAGATTATGCCTGATCAGAAATGGCGGAGAAAAATTGAAGTTTAGCTGTCAGGGATTTAAGATGTAGGAGCAAAAATACAATGGGTGTAAAGGTTGTGGACAATTTGGCGCATCATAAATTGTGCTCTCACTCCTATAAACGTAGCTTGGAGTAGGTGGAATGTGCTTGTACTGGGTGACTTTGACAGGAGATGTGCCCCGCACGCCGATTTATTACCTTTGGGTGTGGATTTGTTGTCTAAGGATGCAAGCATGAGACCCATTTGAACTTTGAGCAAGAACTCACTGGAGAAGATGATAACGTTACTCCTCTGTTACAGTCTGGAGCATCACATTTCCACCTCCGTGGCTGCAGCAAGAGTGAGGGTCTTTAAACACCAGACAGAGAGGTAAGACTGATGAAAGGCATCTCCTCCTCTCTATAGTATAACAAGATGAAATTTCACCTGGTTAGATTTTCTTTTTACATCTCTGAGACAGTAGCTCCCTTGTCTGGGTGCTCTACAGCTCTGTCTACGTCAGCAAGTAGTGCAGACCAGTAGAGGAGGACGTGTAGAGCGAAACCATCAGTGCTGTTGTCCATGCTATAGGTATTTCAGAGGGCTTGCTAGTGTGGTCCCACGCACCGAATACCTGTTAGCTTTTGGAGCACCTTATAAGCACATCCTCTGACGTAGTTTTATCTGCAAGAGACCCATTCGTGTGCTTTGAGACCACTCTACAATGTGAAATGAAGTACGGTAAGTGGGTTTGACCAGGAAATTCACTCGGGAGGGTACTCCTGACTCTGACTAAAATGCTGATGTAGACGCACCCTTTGACATTAGCACTTTCCACGGTACGGCTGAGCAGCACCCTTCTGGGAGAGTCCAGTTTTATGAATGGCAGATTTTGCTATCTAGGCACTGTTCGTTATTTTGGCGAGGGCGGGATCTACTGGAGGTTGAAGATGCATCTGAGGATTATTATTGTTGAGTATCAAGATTTTAAACACTTGACCGTGTGCTGCCCTCAGACACACAACGTCTAAATTTCACCTTCATCCTCAGTAACTCCTCCCCACCGCTCCAGTGCTCATGGCTTCGCGCTTCTGTATTATGACCATAGCTTTAAAAAGACTTTCCTAAAGAAAGATAATACCCAATTTCTCTCTCACTTACTATGATGTAAATGTGAAGTAACAGTTAAATCGGCACTATCCCACTGATTTAAGTCGAGAATCAACTCTGACAAGACTTCTTTGTCTCCAACCTAGAGACGCGTTTCACTACCCTTGGCTAGTCGTGCTGATGGAACAGAGAACACGTCATTTAACAAATGGCAGTGGTGGACTCCGTCTTTATCGGCTGTCACTACGGAGATACAAAGCCACTTAGCCCCAAGCACAAGTGTGACACAGGAGTGTACATCTCTCAGTGGCCGGCGCTAACGCAGGAGGGAACCTCTTGCTGTCCCAGCTGCTCTTGCAGTCCCGTACCTGCGTGGCTGAACACCACTGACCACCTCTCCGAAAGGAAGAATTTCCAGCTGGAAATTGTCCAACAGGCCTGGCCATCAGTGAATAGGGCTTAGTATATATTCCAGGGTTTAATACAGATATATTCCAGAGTGGTTTTAGGTTTTAGAGCTCCTCTGACTTGTATGGATCCTCTTGGGAAGAAGAAAGAAAAGGACCATGGCTTAATAGCTGCCTGCATCTCTCTGTCCAAATTTTAACACTTGCTTTGCTTATAGCTGCCCTTTTTGCACGGAGTAATCTATGAATGTTTAATATTGGAATGTTTTAATTGCCAGTAAGTGCTCCATGGTAAGTTACTTCATGCTGTACTGTGGTAAAGCTGATGTGCTCAGTGGTTTCTCTGTGGCCTCTGCTACAATCTGGTTCTCCTGGAGATGCAAAGCTAGGTCAAATCCATGCAACTGCTTTTAAAAATTAATGTGCCTGTGCATCATCATGTGTTCTTAAATCTGTGGGCACTGCTAAAGACTGCAAAAATATAATTCAAAAATAAATCTTTCCATTAATATACTGATTGCCATTGTCAATGACTGCTTTGATTCCTTTTCCTCTTTCCCCTTCCACCTTTTCAGTTCTTTTTCCCTATAAGTATCCGAAAGTTTAAGACCATTATACCTCTAAAAAATATCCAGTGAGTTTAATTTCTTGACCATACACAAAGTTACATGTATTTGTGTGACATCAGAATCAGCAGCCCACTACAACTGACATTGTCATATGCTTACTAATACGCAGTCTTGGGGTCGCTGGCCTATCCTACACAAAAAGGGTGGGAGAAGAGAATTCCCACTGCTGCTTCATGGAAGCTGAGGCTTAGAAGACTTAAAAGTTGAGACTTTTGAAAGCTGTCTAAAGCGTATGGATTCCCAAATCCCATTAAATCTGGTGTTCAAACATGAATTGTCAAAAGCTTGTGTACCTTCAAGGTCTAGGGGCCAGATTTTCAAAGACGTTTGTTGTTACTTTGCTAAGTGAAATCAACTGGATTTAAGTACTTAACTGAACACATATGCACCGTCTAGTTTCTGACAATGAAGCTTTCTTTAAAACATTTAAAAAGGACTTCCCTGTAAATGCCTTCTAAAATGAGCTGTTCAGTTAACTTTCCAAACTGTAACCTCGTTTGCTGGAAGTCATCGATTCATTACTTCTGACATTACAATGCAGCTCTGTATGGACCCAAGCTGAACATCAAAATCCACCAATAAAATAGCAGTGAAATTGAAATTGTTACTTCATTGCTGAGAGTATATTAAAAATGTACTTGAATAAACAGAACATGGTGAATTTCAAAATGAAAAAAGGGGCACAGATTTTTATACAAGTATACAACATCACGGAAAATCCAGAAGGGATTTTTTTCCACCAGGTCTCTGCTTTCAGTTTTGAAAGCTCAAGAGTTTAAGAGTTGAGATGAAAAGCTTCCTTAAAGTTATCGGTACAAACATCTACTGTTCATGCATTCTCTGTACAACATTCAGTCATCAGTGCTGCCTGTACATAAAGAAATAGCAACGTGCAGTATTTTGGTTCCATAAATACTTGTGATCAAAATAAACATGTGGGACACTATCTTTACTCATATGACTAGGAACTAACAAGCACGCCTCATTTTTTACAAGCTGTTTGTAGATCTTTCTCACATTTATTTTCTACCTGTTTGCTGAATTTCTGCTAATGCTTTTTGAGCCGAGCCGTGCTGAGAAGCCGTTCCTGAAAAATTCTGATAGTCACAATTCTTCCTATTTTGACTTGGTGTACAGCCTTTAGTCTCTGGCTGGATGAACACACCCAGCCAGAAACAGATTTATAGTCACATCTTCATACTGATTAGTACTTACTCTCCCCTGCGCTCCCTTAGAGGTGAACCCCGGATGGACATAAACAGTCATTGCCAAGCTTTGCAGGAATTCAGAGCAACGTTAGCTGACTCTGTAACGCCTTCTTAACTTTGCTGTATCAGTACCGTGAAGTTTTGAAGCTTTACATACAGAGGGAACCTCACAGGCTCTTTAATAGCTCTTTTTTTGTCATTTGCATCAAATAACCTTTCTGGCAAGGGAATCGGCAAACGCAAGCGGTGACGCGGTTTCCGCTTTTCGTGACAAACACACCGACGCCAGCTTCAACGCCCTGTTTACAGCAGTCCTAAGGTGAGGGATCCTTGCGACATGTTGCGCAGAAGCTACTTTGTGGAGGTACCTTTTGCTATCGCGTGGCTTCATCGCGGTGTATGGGCTTCCAGCCGGCTTTGCCCTGGCTTCCGTTTCCACGCTAAACGTCGGGCCAGTGACCCGAAACACAGGCTGGGTGATTCTCTGCAGGCATCCTGCCAAAGTGTTTTGCAGGAAAGGAACCTGACACACAGCTATCATTTAAGGCCAATTTATCTCGAGAATCAATGGGCCTTTAAAAATTCACCAGCTCACATATCCTTTTCAGCGATGGTGGTTAACTGTTTTGTGCTCTGATTTTGTGGGCTTTTGAGGGAACCTTGCTTTTCAGCGTATGATGACATATCCATTGGTAAGAGGAAACCAACAGCCTTTACTTTACCCCTGGAGAAAAATGAGAAAGCATTATGAGGATTACAAATGTATAAAACGTGCAAAGAAAGTAAAAAGAAAAACCCCCGCAAGCAAAAGGAAAAAGCTTTCAGCACTTGCACGCTGCGTGGAGGCAGGATTTCGTGCCCCGCTGGGATGGGGTTCACACGGTCTTCCCGAGGGACCCCGCGTAGTGTTGTCTGCCTGTCTGCTGGAAGCATCTGCCTGTTTCCATCGAGCCTCGCATCTCTCCAGCGGCACCCAACGCGTGTGTACAAAGCTGTGCGTGTACAGAGCCCTCGGGGTGCACATGCACCCACACGGACCCAGGGGGTCCTTCAGTGGCTTTGTGTGTGTATGCATCGGTAGCCAGCTCTGCGAGCGGGTGCGAGAGCAGCGGTTTCCAAGCGGTGAGTGTGCTTTTGATAAATTACACCGACTGCGAAAGCAGAGGGAGAAACGTGCTCCTTCATCTGTCCCGAAAGTGGTTGTGTGGCAAGTAAATGGGTTGGGTTTTGCAGAGCTTTGGGTTTTGTTCTGGCTCTCCGCTGCGATTGCTGTCAGCTCACTCAGGCCCTTGAGGAGCACAAGAAAGGAAAAGCACGAAACTGTGAAAGTATTTATTGATGCTTACTGGAGGGTGTCCCGCAGGGTGGAGGACCTCTGCGATTTCCTCGCCCCTTCTGACCTGCCAATTAGACCTGTCCCACTGGAAGGTGAAACCATCAGGCCTGCACACCCCAACGGTGACATTTGTACCAAACGGGCCTTGTACCTTTTGTAATTTTACTATAATAGCCCTGAAAACAATTCTCAGCCTCTCTTATCCTGCCCAGCGTATTCAAATATTTAGTCTTTTTTTTTTTAATTTTCCCCAAAAAGTGGGAATCGTGTGGTATAAATAACGCTTTAGATTATACGAATGAAAATGTCCTAGACATGCAAATTAGTGATTATTTGTTAGCAGTGCTGTTATTTTATTACTTGGCTGCAACTGCACTCTAGATAAATCCAAGGTGCTACCTCTAAAGAGTTAATTTGCAAGCAGAAATATTCAGCATCACATATAGGATTATAGCTTTGGAGCAAAGTGTGAGAAAATGACGGTAAACAAAGGATAGAAAAACCTGTCATGGCCCAGCATGCTGGGAAGCAAAAATGTCGTCGCTGTAAAAAATTAAGCTTAATTAGCTCGCTGAACTCATTGCCACAAATAATCCTACTAGTTCAAAGCTTACTAAGATTTCTGTCTGTGTTAGACCTTTGTGTATATAAGGGAAACATCCACCGATACGACCAGAAAATATGTTTGGGTTTTTTTTTTTTTCACATAAGGAACACAAAGCTTCATGCTTCAGGATATCACCCAGTCTATAGAGGGGGTGAGGTAAAAAGCTTTTTCTATAGCCGTTTCTTCTAAAGCGGCCAACGTTGAGGAGACATGAGTCACGGTGCCACGCTCACCGCTGTTCAGAGCTGACAAGGCAGCTCGAAAGACAACGATCAAATAATCAGCACTGTTCCTTTGGCTGCTGGGTAATCGGTGCTTTGAAACCTGTAGGTCCCAAGGCATTAGTTGTAACAGAGCCACGTTGCTGTTTCGATTGCTTTGAAAACTCTCCTTCCCCTTATGAGAAAGCAGCAGCATTTGCCGCTGCCGTTCCTGCTCCTGCACACGGACCACGCGTTTCCTAACACGCACGCCTTCCACGTGAGGTGGCTTCAGGGCAAACCTCTCGGAAGCGTTTATGCGCTCTGAGAGTCTTAAGTTTCCCCGAACCCAGTGAATATATGCTGAAATCCAGAGTTACGGGGTCAGGGTGCTTTTGAAAACGATACGAGTTCCCTGCCAGGGACTAAATTTAGGTGTTTAAATGCTGTAAAACATCTGACCCTCAAATGTCCTTACAAGAAAACCTAGATGCCTATGAAAACTTGACTTTGTTGTCCCCTCCAGCCTCTCAGCGAGGAGCTGGGTTCCTCTCAGGGTTTGCACGGGGCGTGCGAGGGGCTGTGCACTGGTCTGCTGTGAGGATGCGTTGCTGTGTGAGGGTGTGGGCTGGTTGTGGCTGGGATAGAGTTAAATTTCTTCACGGTAGCTGGTATGGGGCTGTGTTTTGGATTTGTGCTGGAAACAGCGCTGATAACACAGGGATGTTTTCGTTACTGCTGAGCAGTGCTGACACACAGTCAAGGCCTTTTCTGCCTCTCACCCCACCCTACCAGCGAGCAGGCTGGGGGGGCACAAGAAGCTGGGAGGGGACACGGCTGGGACAGCTGACCCCAACTGACCCAAGGGATATCCCACACCATATGGCGTCATGCTCAGCACATAAAGCTGGGGGAAGAAGGAAGGGGGGGGAAGTTCAGAGTGATGGCGTTTGTCTTCCCAAGTCACAG